GTTCTCCATTCTCATTCCTCATTTCACCGAGTGCTTCTCAACCCATGATGAGTTCTCCCAGTTCGGCTTGCATTCATGTCACCCATTAGAATGAAGTTTGATGTCGCCATCTGGAGTGGGGTCTTGTCCAGTACTGATTGCAGTTGTCTGTAGAATTCCTGCTTCTTCTCTTGATCTGCATTATTTGTAGGTGCGTAGCGTAGTGTAGCATTGTATGATTGTGACTTTCTTTCCTTTTGAGTTGAATCTCGCTGTCATGATGCTGATCGTGGAGGAGGAGATTGGTTCCCATTGTATGAGAGAGAGCTTTCAGTGCTCTTGGGGACATCATGGTAAGCACTCGAAAACTCAGTGTGCTCGTGGTTGTCGTCTGGGTGACAATATCGGAGTAGATTATTGACCCTCCAGTTGACAGTTGAGAGAGTCCACTTCCATTCCATCAACTGTCTCAGATTCCCAACCTGGCACTTCTATGCTATACCTTCTCATCTCTTTCTCAATCTGGTCAGCTTTGCCAGTCAGCTTCAAACATTGTGTGGATATTTCCATATGATCATGTTTACTTTTGCTTTCATGGAAAGGAGAGAAGACATATGGACCAATTGGTTTCCCGAAGTCTTTCACCAACTGGGGTCTCGGTCTCGTCTTTCGGATTCCAGAGAGGAATAAGTTTAATTTTATGTTTCATATTTTGTTTGTGCTTTGAAGTTTCTTTAGTGGTTAGATTGGTTTTCGGGGGTAGGGTTGCTAGTCATATGCCCAACCTTCCTTTTTCATCCGGGCTTAGGACCTGCTAGTACTTGGTTTATTAATTAGCTCGGCTTTGTTTGAAATCAGCCGGCTTAAATGATGCAGGTATATGTATTACAGGATAACGTTGAGGGTGATAATAACAAAGCCAATATCTCGGAATGATCAGGTATTTACAATTTAGGGAAGGTGTTATTCAATGTGATTGTGATCAGTACTATAGGATGATTTAAGATATATTCGGTCAACAATTACTATCATCAAGTCGGTATTCTCGAAGTAGCTCTATCTTTGTTACCTCTTGAATCTTGTACTTTAAGCGTTTGCAAATGGAATGAAAAATGCTCACCATTGGTGTATCAATACTTTGCAAGAAGAGCACATTAGTTTTCAGTGATAGTGTGTTGTGAGACGAACTAATATTATTGTCTTCTAGAAAAAAACAGGACGAAGCATGATGATTTGCAGCACACACTTGGTAAAAATCAACTAATAATCCCACCTCGAAGTTGTTTTCATCACTGGATGATATCAATTCACAAACTAATGCTTCAGCATAGTATGAGATCTTTCATCAGAGCACATGAAAAAATCCCAAGTGATGGTTGTGTTATGCAGTGAGTTGACAGAAGTGGGAAGTGTAGACCACTGGGCTACAGGCTAGTGGTGGGATCGCAGTGCTCTCTGAGAGCCCTTGTGGTTGTGCGTGTGCAGTGCTAAGGAATTTCAAATGAGGGCTATACTGTCATTCAGTACTCACAGTTTTCAATGTTTTTTCGAATGGTACTATTTCATGGTGGAAATGTTTTGCACATCAATCAATCCCCCAAAAAACAGTATTAGTAATTACACTTTCAGAAGAGTAATGTGGAGACAGAAATTATATTGAACATGTGCTATAAATTTTGAAAATTTTTACTACACTTTAACTTGTTAAATTTCTGAGAGACTTCAAAGGCCACCCTAGCAAGGACTGAAACAACCAATGTAATTTCTTTGTTTTATTTGTAACAGACGTTTTTCATGAAATAACTAAATGCAGTTGATTACTTCAATGGTTATCAGGGTGGTCTTTAAAGTCACTTCAATAGGAAAATTCAAAAATTCACATTATTCAAATGAAAATTTTGGAATAGGAAGCTAATAAGAGTAGAATGAAAGTCCAAACCATGCCACCGAGCATAGTACCAAGGTTGATTTAACGTAAGTACGGTTAGTTTTTAGATGCCATAAAGTGATTTTAGTTGAAGGATATGTGGAACTCAAAAACAGCCTACTATTCTTTGGCAACAGCAGACTAAGGGCTAGACTAATATAATTTTTAGTTTTCAACCGACTGTTTGCAAAAGAGGAAGACAGATCTTTGTTATTTATTCTTTGAGCCGACGAGACAATAATTCAACTGCGTCCAAATTGCAAAGTACAACGATGTGTTGCTTGCAGGTATATCGAAATGTAACCACTGTCATTTCCATAAGGATGGCCTTAGTCACTTACCCTGCTTTCAGAGCTGCTTATCTAAACCTCTGATAAAAATTAAAGTAAACAGGTGGCGACCTAACAGTTACGATTACCATCTTTTTGTTATGGAGTGAAAACTGATCACAACTCATTGTTATACGAATCCGATGCTTCCTCATAAATTCAAACACAATTGTTTTCCATAGTTGTATAAACACGTTAAACAGAATATTTTCTACAGATCTGCTAAAACCAGTACTGCTCTCATCCATAGATTGCAGCGAGAGTTCAAAAAGTAACACAAGCATATCACAATAACAAATATTCATTGTGAAAAAAGTGCCCGTTATGAGTTAACAATCCAAGTAATAACTAGCTGGCTTTTGCAATATCTTCCACATTATTTTTGTCTCTTGAATAGTTCACACAGTGAGACAGTATTATTTACTGGATGACATTTCACACAGCATTTATTGTGCGTATTCAGACCTAAGGGAATTCAATATCTTTCACACTCAGTTCTGACGGTTCCATTTCTTCGCCTTTACTTTTGTAATAAGGGTAGCACAATTTCCCAAATATCTGGAACACCTGCTGAGTCGATCCAACTACATTGACTCACTGCACATTCAATGAACACATTTTCGCTTATCTATCTCCCCCTTTCACCCAACGGAGTTAATTTCACGACGGTAACTCTATTACTCCCAATCGTCTCATTGTATGTGTAAACAATCCTATGCACAGCTATCACCGATCTTTTCTCTAGATTCCATATTGGACTAGGATTCACCAATATTGATTCGACGAAGCTTTTGTGCTCCGACGGCCTAATTTATCCACCTCGACTACAGTGACCTATGTGTTCAACCTCGTGGAGGATTCGATAAAATAATTGTATCAATAGGGCCATTTAACCTACGAAGCTTTTTTCTAGGTGAGTATACAAGTGTAAACGCGATCCTAATCCCAGCGTAAACTTTCTGAGTTGCGTTACCTATATGGTAAACACCGTGAAGATTTTGAGTTCTCATTTTGGAATTTGCTAGTATTAGCGTGTACACTATCTGAGTTTATGTTACTTATCTTTTTCTTATAACTTCTTATGCATCTCTGGATCATTTTACGACGATATTTATCGAGTTCTAAGGTGTCTTTGATGTCTTATTTCCTGTTTTATTTCTCAGACACTGCAATCTGTTAGGTAAAGATTTCACTGAGACTATTCTACCTAACATAGGATGAGATGACCCAGAGTCAAAGTATTGGATGAATGTGTAGGTTTTCTATAGACTCTAATGTCGAAGTACCCATCTTGTTTTGTTTTTTTTATTCTGGAATTCAACTTAGCCAGTTCCCCTTTACCACTCTAATTCATAGGCGAATTGGATTGCATCTACAATTGAATTCATGTTTGTCAAACATTTATCGATATACTCTGACTTTAACACAGTAAATGCGTCGTTTATTTATCTCTTACATTTTTTCAGAGCAGAGTAACTGTTCTAAGAGCTTTTTATTTCCAACTATTCATAAACATGTCTAGCACTATTGAGGACATTGACAATTCCATTGCAGTTTCTTCCTTTTACTTGTATATTTTTTCTTGAAGCTTTAAAATTGCAAATTGTGTGTGATTGCTTCACAAAGAGTTTCCTTTCTCATAAAGAGAGGACCCCTGGAGAAGTTTTTCGTATCTGTTCGACAGAAAAGACGGACTGGATATCCCACAAGTGTGACAAACAGAGACTCATGTTAAAATCCCCAAATAACATGCAGGTAGAAGATTGACCTCTACATACTTTCATTATGCTGACTAAACATTCTGCCACACTGCTCCGCATGATTTATCCCTGTTATATTCAGCATTTCTGAAGAATAATTTATCCTTACTTCCCTCTGATGACGTATCATCCCACTAAATATTTCCCATTATAACAAATCTCATTCTGTTTTTATACTACGCCTTTTTTTGAACAACTTGAATTAGCTTCACTGACCCATTTGTTAAATTACTCAAATAGATCATATTGATCTTTGCTCTACGTAACAGTTTAATTCTGTATCAAACTTGAATATTAATCTACAAGCCCAACAGATGGATCATACCTTTAAAAAAGCACTTCCTATCGAGACTAGAACGATGAGAAACGATACAAAATGTTTGTTTATTTTGTAATTCCTTCTAATATGTAACGTCAATCTTGGACAAGTAAAAACACTTTATATACGAAAAAATACACAGCCGTCTTGTGCACATTTTGACAGTAGACAGTGAGCCACAACTATTGTGTCTGGGCTAGAGATGTTATCTGGCTGCCAAAACCACGGTAGGTTGAGCGGGGTTCGAACAAATGACTCACCGATTGATAGTCATCTACCTATATCACTGAGCCAAAGCTCTACACACACTTTATAGAATCTAAGTTGAACAATTACATCAACCGAAGTTTCTTTTGTTTTGTTAAACTTAACACGCATGTGGCATGGTGGTCTAACCTCCTGATTTTCAATTATTGAGTCACTGGTGTTATCTTTGCCACCTAGTTTCGTGTGCGTCTGGCTACCTAATACTCTCTGGCTCATTGTTTAATGAAGAAGAGTGTTTGCGATTACGATTTCTTTTTATGATTATACACTTTTTCTTCAGCTTGTTCAAACTTCATTGAGACAATCACCAACATTGTGGAATAATTTTACCATTTATTGAGTATACACTAATTTATTACAGGGCAAAATTTTAATACTTTTATAAACACTTGTTAGATTATCTTAGTTCTGTTTTTCAGATTGACTTGTTCCTACATGTATAACAACTGAAAATGGTGAGAGACGTCAGTCATCTTTATGAATCTGGGTTGCATACATAACCGATGTTCTCTTGTGTGAGTGATGAGTTAAACTAGTATTTTTGTTATTTATTTACTTTACTCAATTCAGCTTTTCTAATACTGGGCAGCTGAAATGACAGAGTATCAGCCGTGGTGTATCTCTCATTTATATGATATTTAGATGAACTTCTCTGTGACCAACAACTGAAATCCTGACACGGTGGTCGAAATTGCATATCATAATAACCCGGAGAACTGTGTTGGCTAGGAAAATTGTTCTCTAACGTTCTATTATACCATTTGCTGTCATACGGTAAACATCTACGCTGTGGCAAGGGTCCAAGGGTGAAGTCATTCTGTTGACTAGACAGCGTGCGATAACAGTCCATGCCGATACTACCTTCCTTATGGGAAGTGATACCAGAAAATATCGGCCTCAGAAATAGAATACTGCTTACTGCCTTGTGGTCTTATGGTCCCAGTGGTGTGGGCTCTTCTTATTCACTAGTAGCAAGGTGAAATCTAAATCGCAAACTCTTAAAAGACTATGTATAACCGGGCTCAAGCATATATTTCTTCGGCTGTGTGATCACTTAGAATCTATCATTTCTCTGTTTCAGGTACCTTAAGGAAACAACTTCTATGGTATGGGCAGCCGGTAAGTACTGATCACATGCCAGCCTACGGTTGCATACGAAACCGATTCAGCCAACAACCCAGCTTCCTGACCTTTATCTCTTCCCTCGCCCTTACTTTCTGGATACCAACATTAACCACCCTATAGTATCCTCCGTCTTCACAGGGATTGACTTATTTGCAAGGGGGCACCTAGTTGACTTGAAGTTAGCAGAAAGCATATTCCCGTTAAGCAAAACTGCTGACAAAACACCAAGTTTTCTTAACACTGATTATGACGATCATGCGTTTGACATTCATCAAATCTAAGATGATGCTTCAAGATTAGCTTGCACTGACATCTAGTTTAAGGATAGAGAGTCAATTGTTTGAATGCACTGACCAACTCTCTTACTGTGGCAGGTTTATAAGACCGAATGGTTGATTATTGGTAAAATATCGGCCCAGATAAAAGCTTACCGTTCTGTATTCGTTAACTTATGTTACTTCTGGCACCGGTAAGATATCCGACTTTGTTATTTAGGCGCGAGTATGCTGCTCTGCAGATACAAAAATGCCATTTGGATTGGTTTGCATTCTGTTATGAAGTGATTTTTCAAATTTCTTAACCAGATTCTTGAAAAACTTCAGTTTTACATTGACTGTTAGGTTTTTCATCTTTTTATTTCAGATACTGTTTTGTCTTTTTTACCGGTATAACTTCATGTCTTGTTTGTGCACTTAACCTATTACTTATGACTTGAGTGATATCGAAATCATTTTTGACGGACTGGTTAATTTATGGCCTAAAGGTGCAATGCTCTAATGGATCATCTAGTTTTTCTAGTTCTAGCGTTTTCATTCTTTATATTCGGTCAGAATCTAAATTTTCTATATATTGGGATTCGGTGTTGAATCACTTGTTTGATTACTGACTTCCTAGATGATTGAGTTATTACATGACGAACAGGAATTTTTCATGCACATTGAGGTAACAACAAAAACTAGCAAATTAAAGTGGAATCAAATCTTGACATAACTAGAATGGTTGGCGCATTCAAACAATTTATTCTCTGTCCTTAAAATGCGTATCCGTGCAGACTAGTCCTGCAGTTGTATCCTCCGACTGACAGGTTTGAACTGCACGAATAATGAATTAATATTTATCTCAAGGAGTTCAGATGAATTTACATTTGTCAGTGTCTACACCAATCGGAAAATCAAGTCGTTATTGGTAGAAAACCGATTCAAGAGTTACCGTAAGTGAACAAAATTATCTCGACAAGGTTAGACGGGAATACTGATTGTGAATATTCGCGGAGGATATCAGAGGTTGTTCTCTTCACCTCAGTTAGAAATTCCTAGTCATAAGTTGCTCGATTAGTTCAGGTCAAGAAATATGACAAGTGATGTATTGTATCACATGTAAAAAAGTGGACATTTAATGGATGCATTAAATCTGCTTGATTTTCCGGAATTCAACAGTTTCTAACCAAAACTTGGTATCAAATTGAACACGGGAACAGCATGACGCTATACTTCAAATCGTGTCTCAATTTCACATCACAGCATATTATCTCTGTAATTGTAAATTTTGACTTTAATCAATATATTAATTTACAAACTGAAGGTTGTTGAAGTTGGTTTCCTTTATTTTAATATTCTGTAATCATGCTCTTACAAATCATTTTAGACGTGATTACCAATTGACTACATCGCTAGTAAAATCTAAAACAAAGAAGCCAGCTTTTCCTTTCGGTCCTCTAATTTTTTTAGATGATTTGAAAAAGTATTCAGTTATTTTAGTATTCCTCTTTACTTTTGAATGCGTGTCTGTTACGATTTTTATCATTGTTGCCTTAATAGTATAGGCTGTGTCGTGGTGCCACCACATGAGTAACGCAGAATTCAGGTGTAGAGTCTTTGGGAAGAGAGGAGAGTCGGTTGATGTGCATGTGAACCTTCATCTACTGGGCCAAGTGATACGCAGGCCTAGTCACCATTTGTCTCGTCGTGCAGTGTTGATTGAAGCACGTTCAATCTGAAAAAATGCCTGGTACGACCGGACTGAAACATGGTATCAATACATGAAGTCTGATTGTTGGCTTGAGCCATGTTTTGAGATGCAGACTAGCCGGTTAGGGTCCATATGATAGCGGAAGCCATTGTTTAAAGAGACTCTAGGAGATATGGCTGCCTCAGAATTGATGTCACTGGTTCAGATGTATCCACACTTTATCTTCATATCAACCGTCATATTAAATTCAACATTTTCCCATTCCTCCTTCCTCTCTTTTACTGCTTTTGACCAGTTTTTCTTTCTTTCTTCATCTCCCATCTTTACTGCTTTCTTACTTGTACTGATATGAGGTGTGCTAACTTAGACCATTCTGCAGTAATGCCTGATCCTATGTTGATACTGATGGCTTTGATTGACTATTACGATTACTGTAAGGATCGTGGCACTATTAAGATTTATTCATTGGTTTGTGAATGATCGATTTCGACACATAATAAAGAAAATCACTTCTTAGAGGAATTGTTCTAGTGCTATATGGTTGAAGGTTTTCGATAATAAGCCTTTGGTCCAAGTTAATGTCTGTTCGGTCAACAATGTGTATCTGTAACCGTGACGAACGTTATTCTTCCACCTAACTAGTTTGAACAAGTCCCTTTCAAGAAATGAATGTAGGGACTTTGAGGTTTCGTGATTTCCATAATATATCAGCCTTACGTTTTCCTATAGTCTCATAATTCAATAATCCATGCACCAAATACTATCTAGTTCATCATGAAGTGAGTTGTTTAAATGAGCACTTATGCTGTCATGTTTAATTTTGTGAAATCGAAATCCATTTCTTGGTCAAATTTTTCACTCGGTGAATTTATTGCAGTTGTATTTCCTTTCTACTTTTGTTTTTTATCAAATGCATCACTCAGTGAAACAGTATTATTTACCGTACAGCATTTCGGATACAATTTATAGTTCATTTTGATATCAAGATTAATTCACAACTTTGAGACATTGTTTACGTAGTTCTAGTTCCTTCTCCTTATTTGTTATACGTTTAATAAAGATTATGGCAAAATTATGAGAAAAAAATTCAAAGTCTTCACGGTGTTTACCATATAGGTAACGCAACTCAGAAAGTTTACGCTGGGATTAGGATCGCGTTTACACTTGTATACTCACCTAGAAAAAAGCTTCGTAGGTTAAATGGCCCTATTGATACAATTATTTTATCGAATCCTCCACGAGGTTGAACACATAGGTCACTGTAGTCGAGGTGGATAAATTAGGCCGTCGGAGCACAAAAGCTTCGTCGAATCAATATTGGTGAATCCTAGTCCAATATGGAATCTAGAGAAAAGATCGGTGATAGCTGTGCATAGGATTGTTTACACATACAATGAGACGATTGGGAGTAATAGAGTTACCGTCGTGAAATTAACTCCGTTGGGTGAAAGGGGGAGATAGATAAGCGAAAATGTGTTCATTGAATGTGCAGTGAGTCAATGCAGTTGAATTGACATGATACTGGCCATATTTTAATTACATAATTATGATGGATACTGACTAGCAATGGAATACAGTGCTCTCTTTTCGTTCTATTTAAGTGTCATCAACTGGATGTACTTGTCTTTCAGTAAGAGATTTTGTTATCATCAAGACTCAAACTCAGGTCCCATCGCTCCAAGCACCAGAGCGTTATCCGCTTGACTGCCGAATCACGGCAACCACTTCTTGTGCGATGAATATGGTTGAAATGTTGTTGCCTGTATCATCCCGTCGTTGATTGGACCGATTTGTAGGAGTTTATGAAACTGATTAATTTTAAAACCAGTTGGCATACAGTATTCATTAAATACTATCAGGGACGTTTTCTTCTGACCTAGAAAATGTAAATTGTGATCTTACCGTAGAACCAAATTCCTTTATTAAAAAAATGTGATATAAGTAGTACAAAGTAGACAAATTACGTAACACTTCTAAAGTTGTTAGGAGATGCACTACAAAATCAGCACTTAATTATCTTTTAACACTTACTGGTGGATCATTTCTGTTAAGAGTTATGTCTTATAGGTTACGAAATATTTTTAGGATTACAGAACCGTACACCATATGACTTTTGATGAGAATATTGTACTGTTCATTGTTATCCGTTTTAAGTTGAACCGAAATTTTTCATGATAACACTGAGAGGACAGTTTGATTCCAGCAATACGTTTTTTCTATGGAATTATTTTGATTTTACACCTAATGTCTAACTTTCCAACCTAGCCAAAGTAACTAGTTCACAAGTTAATAGCCGGTCCTAAGCCCGGATAAACAGGGAAGTTTGGGCATATGACTAGTAACCCCAACCCTAAAACCAATCTAACCACTTAAGAAACTTCAAAGCACAGAGAAAATAACAAAAATAAGTGCTAACTTATCG